GCCTGCAGGAGGGGTGAAGGCAGGGCAGGCCTCCTCTTCCTGCCTGGCTCCGTCCTTCCTCCCTCAGCTGGCTAATTATGGCTTCTGGCCCTGCCGGGGTCCAATCTGCAGGGGTGCCCCTGCCTCCCATAAGTGGCTGACACTCCTGGGAGCCGGTCTTGAGTGGACAGGACCTGGCAAGTGTTCTAAAGCTGACTCTCTCAGGGGCATTTCTGTGCCCACTCCTACAGCGGCGGGCAGGAGGGGATCAGTCAATTATCATGAGCAACTGTTAATGACTCCATATCATTTTAAATTTCATAATCAGAGTACATAAAGAGACCTTTGGAGGTAATCCAGTTCAGCACCCTCTGAAGAGAGTGTTTTTTCTAAATAAACTAGTGTAAGGAAATTCACACTTTCCTGAGGAGTCCTGTGATCTCACAGGACATTCACACACACAGACAAAAACACCCATGACACACGGGCTCGGGGAGATGATGCAGGCTTGGGGAGATGTTGTGGCCTCCGGGAGATGTGGGCTTGGATAGATGATGCGGGCTTGGGACATGATGTCGGTTTGGGGAGATGAAGTGGGCTTGGGGACATAACACGGACTTCGGAGACTATGAGGACTTGTGAAGATGAGGTGGGCTTGGGAAGATGATGTGGGCTTGGGGAGATGTGGGCTGGGGATGTGGGCTGCGGTCTTGGTGAGATGATGTGGGCTCAGGTAGATGATGTGTGCCTGGGGACATGATGTGGCCTCAGGGACATAATGTGGGCTTGTAGAGATGTGGGATGGGGAGATTATGCTGATTGGGGAAATAATGCAGGCTTGGGGAAATGATGCGGGCTTGGGGAGATGTGGGCTCAGGGAGATGAATCACGCTCAGGCACATAATGTGGGCTTAAGAAGATGTGGGCTCCGGGAGACAAAGCGGGCTCGGGGAGTTGTGGGTTTGGAGAGATGTCTCGGGCCAGGGGAAATGACGTGGTCTCACGGAGATGACGTGGCCTGGCGGACATGATGTGGGTTTGGGGACATGATGTGAGCTTGGGGAGACGTGGGC